ATTAGTAATGATGACAACTAACTGATAGTGAGTGTAATTGTTTAGATTCAATGGAATCCGACACAAAAATGGGATAAATCATATTCTATTGTTTCTGGCTCAAAACTCATCAACATCAATCAATCAATAACATGGTTTTCAATAGAATAAAATTTACTTGATACATTTTTGTGTTCTTATGTATTTTGATGTTTCTTTTTCGTATGATTTTCTAAAAATTTTACATACATCACAATGAAAGAATACATAGTAATTTAGCATAACTATGAGGAAGTACAACATGCCTCTTCAATTAGTACTTTTTAGGGTGTCGTATTTACAAAAAGATAATAACTTAAATATGAATAGTTCTAAATCTAAATTACACTTTTCAAAGTACTCGCATGAACTATATTGAATAAAACAAAATCTTTACGAAAAATAATTGTGAATTATTTATAAAAACAAATAATAATAGAAACATTGTACAAATATATCTAACAGGTTGGTGATGACTTACTTCATATTTAGAATTTTTAGAATTTTATTTGATTGAGCGTGACCACCTGATTGAAATTCTTCAATTCGCCAGTGAACACCGATTCGTTGAATATTCTAATTAATGAAGTTTTTCCCTCGGAAAAACGTTCATTACTACAGTTTCACGAAAACATACAATATGAAATTCATATTACTTTTGCAGATATTTATATTAATAACTCGTATTTTAAGCTGTCATGTTCCATATACACTAATACTAAGAATGAAGAAAGAACTCTTTCAAAATTTTTCATCAAGTGAATCACAAAAACTAAAGTCAAAAAAACATCTATGACTTTTTTTAACATTCTCCTGAAAAAATAAGATTTCTTTATAAGACTTTTTGTTTGGAATCATTACTTAACACAACTTAAAATTTTCTTAATCTATAAAATGATACTACTGCCCATACGAAGAGAAAATGATCTAGAGAGTATAGTTTCATACCATACTTTATTTTTTTTAGGTTAATGAATACTTAGATATGTTCACAGTGATATTTTACTAGTGAACAACATAACTTTCTCAATGAAACGGAATCTGTTTGAATATTTCTATATCGAAAGGATGAATTAGACAATACTGATGATTGAGAGTTCGTAAGAGTCGATTAAAAGTAGTTCAGAAACGTGAGTGAAAAAAAAATGTTTACTCTATATGAAATTTAACCTCCGATAGTTGGATAAGTTTTCATGATCATAATAAATTGATTCAACATAATCCAAATTCCTTATTGCATGATGAGAGAGCGTGAGCTCAAGAATTTCGATGATGTTTAGAACTTTATCAGTTGAAGAACTTGACGTTCATATTTCTGAATTGTGAAAGCTATGGTAATTAATAAAAGCGAACAACATAGACTAATTTCGATGCCTCAAAAAATTGATAAAAAAAAACACTTGGTAAAAACTGATCATATTGAAACAAACAACCTGACCGCGGATCAATAAACCGATTGGTTCAAATTAAACTCTGAATTACTTTTAAGAATTAAATATTCTTATGTTAATTTGATAGTTGAAGAATATTTTTAATCCTATTTGCATCGAATTCTTCAATGATTGAGTAAAAAGTAGGTAAACAAATAAATATAATAGATACAATAAGAAAATTTAAAACAAATAAAAGATTAATTTCTGTATACTGTATTTGGTCATTTTAAAAAACTTTGATCAAATTTTAATAGTGCTTTTTCATGTATTTAAGTCATATTACTTTTTTTTTTTAATCAAATACGTTTTTCCTACTTCATCATTTACTTCATTGATTATGTAGCAGCCTACATGTTCATTTGAAACAAAACAGTAGAGTATATTATTTATAACTTCATGATCTGATATATTAATCCTATGCTACCATTGTATTAGACTTAATTATCCTGAAACAAATATTCATTGTGGATATCTATATGATAATCAACAATCTTATCCGATGGAATGTTTATTTTAAAACGATGCATTCTACCCAATCGAAGTTCAAAGAATCCTTTGATTGATGGCTATTTTTTTGTGACCTAAAATTAATGTAATACAGATTTTATTTATCAAAGTTTTTATACTACTAGATAGAATACATTTTGCAATGTTATTTCAGATAACTGTCTATCATGATTGATTGAAAAAAAATGTTTCATATTCGCAAACGTCTTCTTCTTTTAAGCTTATTTTTATTACTTATTATAGGAATATTTATAATACTGCGTAGAGTCTATAGAGTACTATATTTTTATGCGTGAATCATGAACTATATTTTGCCCTGATAAAAAAAAAACTGAATACTCTTCATTTTTTTTTTGTGCATTCATTATTCATACCACGGAACTTAACTTCCGTTGTATGAATAATGAATGCAAACAAAAGGAGTCCTCCGTTGATTTTGATTAGGCAGATATATTCGACTTGCCGTCGGGATCTTAATAATATTGTATTAGCTTAATTTTTACTTATGTATGAAGCCGCTTTCTTTTCTATGATCTATTTTTGTAACCAGAATCGTTTGTTGTATGAAGAAAAGGAAATAAAAGTTTTCAACACATTTTGTCTTTGCCATTTTTAGACTCATATTTATGCCATGTTAAAAAGCAGGTTATGATAATTGCGATGAAGTAGAGAGTTTTTTTTTTAATGCATGTTCATTTGTCTTTCTTTTCTTTTCTGATTTATTTTCTCAATAAAAAGCCTTCTGTGTATTTGTAAATAGAGAAACATAATTATATCATTGTTTTGCCCATAAGTTTTGCTATCTTATTCACCATACGTGGTCCATTATAGTTTATGATTCAGAATTTTGATAGATTTATTTACAAAATTTATATAAACATAGCTCATATTTATATTGACTATATGTGAATAAAAGTCAAATGAAAAATCTCTTCGATTCGAGTACATTGTTAGAAAATAATTAGATTCTTCAATCGATGATCAAATAAAAGAAATAATTTCTTATAGAACTTATTCCTATAACATTTAATTAGAGTTTACCGAAATATGAAACGAATATTCTCTTAAATAAAAATATAACACTCAGTTTTGTGTTTAATAAAAGAATGTAAATAGTAACATGATTATGGCTTTTGTTATTTAATCAAATTAAGTGGAAGAAGTTCATATGATTCTAATAAAATTTTATTTAATAGTAACAAATATCATGTTGACTTTTTAGATCAAGGGTGAATATGTTTCATAATATTTAGTCTGTATTGTATGATTAAACAATGGACCAATAGTTTAAAAAAAAGAATTACTCAAGTATTACTACTAATGTAACTTGTAAGGCATCTATTATTCATAGAAGTCATTATAACTCATTAATTCTATATGAATATATAGAAAATGCAATTTTGCATTGAAAACAACAAGAAGAGAAAGATAACGACTAACTAATGTAAAATAGATACAAAGACATACATATCATGTTTTCTCAATATGGATGATAGAACATTTTTTTTTGCATTAGTTATTACCAAAAGTTCTTCTAATCAAAATTCTACAAATTGAAAATACAATTAAATCAATAAAAACTAATGCTTATTCGTTGAAAGTATATGTGTATTTTTGAATTCATAGATTTTCATATAAAATTGTCGTTTGTGTTTATATTGGAAAATATTTTTTTTGTAAGCTGTTTTTCTCAAATGAATAAATTTATTCGACTTTTTTTTATTTTTAAATATAAAATATAAGATAATTTTATTATGATTTTCTTAATAATACTTAATTTGTCAGTATATAGACGATGCATGTTATTTTGACAAAAATGAATTTGTCTGCTGGAATTAACATCCAGAATTATTCTAATAGATGCCAATGTGAGTGTTCCGATTCTATTCTTTCTCAATATTGATAAAAGAGAAAAAACATTCTCAAGAAACTTCAATGCAAGAAAAAAATAGAACATATTTGTATTTTTGAAATATTCTCTTATCAATCATAGTTAGAACGAATTGAAATATAAGCTATGAATAACTAAAACGATCTACGATTAGAAAAAAGTGTTTCTTCGAATTCCATTAAAAATTTTATGGAACATATTTTTCCTGAAAATCAAAATTCAGTAGACACAGTGTGTCAAATTCGATCGAGAACGTTTTGAAAGTTATGTCAGCTGATAGAACAAAGATTTTAAAGTAAAATAAAACATCCTTGAGTACTCTACAATCTTTTTATATCAAATCATACTCAATTTACAAACAAACCCCGAAGGCATTTTTTTAACAAATTTTCTATGCTTTACAATACAAGGCTATTTATGGATTGAGCGCAATTTGATAAAAAAAAAAAGATCGTAGAGTATTCCAGAATGTTTTATTTTACTTAAAAATCTTTCTGTTATCAGTCGACATAATCTCTGAAAACGTGTCCAATTAAATTTGGGACATTGGTTTTTAGAAGAATATTGTTCTGTAAAATTTTCAATAGAATTCGAATAAACATTTCTCCTAACAAAAAATCTTCTCAGCTACTCAAATCCTTATTCCGAATCGTTCTCTCTGCTATCGTGAAGACAACATCACAAAAGTACAATTATGCACAATTTTCTGCTCGTGATTTCTTAATATTACATATCATCCAAGGACTTCTAATTATTTCAGGTTCAAAAAACATTATATAACGGGTACATACTAGAAGATGTAGACGTCTATTTCTACGAACATCTTAACTTAAGGGGATAAGTAGGGCACTTATACTTATTCTATTATTATTTTATGACATTGTATCTATGTAAATAAATTAGAATGGTATTTATTGATTATAGAAAAAAAAAACAAGTTTTTTTTTTGTCAACACAAATTAATAAAACTACATTAGTTTGCTCATCATAGTATAAACTAACTTCTTATCTTTTATTTTCTTTATTAATACAAAAACATAGGAATCAGTTAGTATGTTTCTCAAATTTAAAGAATTCATCAATTAAAATTTACATAAATAATGTTAAATAATAGATAATCCAACTAATAATTTCACATTATATTCATTGTTTTAATTTTTAAATGGATAATAATTTTGTTTTTTAACAACACCATTTGTTGTACGACGTTTTATTTGTGATTCTTGTAATTGTATATTATATTGTGGACGAGATTTATAACTTCCTCGACGATCTCCTTCATTTCTATTATATAATTCTTTCCATTGACATCGAAGTATATACATTAATTCATTTCGAAATACTTTTCCACTTGCACAATATAATAAAAAATTTATACAAAAATTAGTTAACATAAATAATTCTGTTAGTTCTTTTATTGATTTTAATGCTGCAATACGAAATCCATGAACATAATTAGCAAGCCATACAACACAATATGGAGAATTTAATAATAAAAATGAACATGATACAAGTAAAAGTGTTACAGTAACACGATTTGCTCGAGATTGTATATAATTTTTAACACATGTTGGAGATTGTTTCGTATGTGCTGTATATGTAAATGATGGATTTGAAATTGAATGAGAATTAGAATGATTTTGTCGTCTATCAGGCCAAAAATTACTATTAACCTATTCAAAAAAAATATATATTAATAGTAAAAATATAATCTCCTGTCGGAAATAGTTTACATTCTAAGATTTGATACATTTCATCTGTACTTTTTTTTTGTATACAAACTATTTTATGAAAACACTAGACTAGGTCAATATCTTGCTTATACATTAATCATTACGTAACTTAAATTATCAAACGAAATACATCTTCCAAATGATTCTTATGGGTAATTATTAAATCGTTTTACCATACATACATATATATAAACATAAATATGATACAAACAACATTAACATTAGCTTAACACACAAAATAAGCAATTCCTTTTGACCTTTATTTCCCACTTATTCAATAATACGGATTTCAAAGAATAAAAACAACATTACTGTACATCGCTATATTCTAATTATGACATTCAGGAAAAATTTGTAATCAAACATTTTTTTTTCTTTTGTATCCAGTACACTTCAACAATAAAAATTCTATCTATAAAGTTCATATCAAAAGAGAAAATGTGTTCATGAGATTTTTTTTTTCCGTAGAAAATGTTAATTAACATTTAAATAATATTCACCTGTGTTGTATTAGCTTCAGATGTTATCAATGATCCGATTGATTGACATTTATTTAATGCAGATAATCGTAGTGTTTGACATTGTTGAACACGGTTTATAGCATTTGATGAAGTTTTTGATAGATGCGAACGTGAAAATGAACCTAATAAACTACCTAAGCGACGAGAATTTTTTATTTTCTGTCTAATTAATCAAAAACAAAACAAAAAAAAGATTTTAGTAAACCAAACAAAACATATGAAAAAGAAAAGATCTTTTACCTTTGTTTAAATATTTCATGATTTTCATCTTTTTCTGTTAATAAACTTTTTCTCCAAAGTTTAGAACAAATTAGCATATTAACAAGACTTATAATACACATAGGTAATAAATAAACTGTAACCATTGCACTTATAGCAAATCTCATATAAATTGAACGATATTGTGGTAATATATCACAGATTGTTTCTTCAATTTGAAAATGATTTGATAAATTAATTATTCCATAATGAAATGGAACATTTATATTAATTAAAAGACTCATAATAAATAAAGAGAGAACAACTAAACGTGCTATTTTACGTCGACATATAATAACTCGTTTTAATGGATAATATACAACAAGAAGACGTTCAATTGTAAATGAAACAACTATCCATGATGATAATAAACGTGTTGTATTTCTTGCATATTGAACAAATATACAAATAATAGGTGAACTATGATCAAGAATATTTATACGTGATTGATATAATTCATTATGATTACGAAATGTATCTTCAATAAGATTTATACAAAGAAAACAAAGATCAGATATAGCAAGAGATAGAAGATAAAAATGTGATGATTGACGACGATATCGAGGAGATAAAAATATTAATATTGAAAGAATATTACCAATTATTCCTAGAGATGTCAATACAAATGGTCCATATATTGACATATATTGTTCAAAAGCGACGAATTTTGATATACTAGTAATATTATTGCTTTGATTGGACATTTTTTTTTTTTTTTTAAATCTCAAAAAGAAAATGGCAGTTTCTATTAGACAATAAATAGATCATTTATAATCGAGTAGAATGTCTAAATGACACACGTCAATAGTACAAGATGTTAGCATCATTATACAAGGAATAAATACCTCTTTTGTCAGCCGATTTATTATAACACGCATTTTTTTTTTCTTCTTCTTAGAATCAAGAAAAGGAAATGATGGTCCAGTGATTTTTACAAAGATTCTTCTTTTTCTTTCTTTTCTTTTTCTTTTTTTGACATTTCTTCAAGAAATACTACAGCTCAAAAGAAAGATCAGAAATGTTCGCCTACACACATATGAGATTGTCTTATTCAAAATAAACGACTTGATACGACAAAAAACTATAATGAATAAAACCTTAATTTTATAATAGAATTTAATTTATAGCATAAGCATGTACTCATTAGCTTTAACAAAAAAAAAATGTTGGAAAATCAGCTTAAACAATATACTTTGTAATAAGTCATTTACTTAAAAGAAATCTGAAAAAAAACAAAATACTGACAAAAGAACAGTCAAGTTATTTATTTGATCTTAATGAGTAAAAAATATTTAGCATTTGTATTTATATAAAATTGAGTTAATTGATAGACTAGAGTTGGATATTTTTTTAAGATCCTATTTCAATACATCAATTATTCATGAAACATATGTTATTCTACTGATAACAGTATTTTTATACTAGAAAACAACTACGCAAATAATTTTTTTGTCGTTCTCTTTATCTGTATAAAAAAAAAATAGAATACTATATTTCTAAGAAGTTCAGATTATACATTCGAAATATGTAAACGAAAAAAGAAATAAATGAAAAAGTGAAAAATAACACATATCTTATTCAATGTGAATGATATTGAGAATAAGTATTTTTCTATCAAAATATCTAATTATTAATGCACCTTCGTGTATTTGTCTAACAGCAACAATTGATAACGAATTGTATTACTTACTTATTGAAGTATAAACTTGAATAAAATAAGAGAGTTAATCGAAAAAAAAAAGGAAACATTTGAGAAAGTTATATTAACTCGATGAGACATCAATGTTGTTTTTTTATTTTGATATAATGATATTGAAACTTGCAAAGTCTAATGAGAAAAATCCTTAGAAAATTATATCATGTAAATACAACAAAAATGTACTTTTTTTTTTTCATGTTTCTTTTGAGAATAAGCGAAAAGCAAAAAACAAAAAAGAAATGAGAGTTTTTCTAAGAAAAGAAAAGGAAAAAGACTGATAAAAATCCAGGTAATTCATAATTATTATACAAAAAATTTATAGTCATTATGAGCTCAATACAATATTCGCGTTTGTAAAGAATGAGACATAATCTACATATTTCACATATATATATATATATGTGAAGACCTACACAGTCGGAAACATTGCAAGAAATGAGAATAAAGAATTTTATATTCTATTATAGCCCCGCTGATAGTTGAATATTATCAAGAATGAAAAAAAAAAAAGAACGATATTAATACAATTTGACTAATGAAATAAAAATTTATTTTGTCATATAACTTTGTTTATTAAAATGTCGAATGGCTTTGATAAATAATGAGGACATAATGATGAACGCATCTATCCGACTAACATGATCAATACAAGCGAAAAAAAAACACAATTGTACTTGTTAATCTGCATTGCGAAAAAAAAAAAAAGAGTTGTTTTATGTGATCGTCTTCTTGAGAATAGACATGCAATCTCTTTTATACTGAGTTAATTATATTAACAAGATTTATCTCATTTTAAATATTAATATTTATTTTTAATACCTTAATGTAGATAATAAAGTTTCATTGAGTTTCTATTGGTCAGTTACGATCTTTTTTTTTTTGAAAGAATATCATTGATATCAATATGTAGAAAAGCTTATCCTTAAAATGATCAACTAAGAAAAATAATATTATAAGTAAAAAGCTTTCGTTTTTATTTTTAATTTAGTGGAAAGCAACTCTAATCGATAGATAGCATTATTAATTCGCGTATATTGCAAAAAAAAAAGAGTTCATATGCGAGAATGATCCGCTCGAGGGAAATATTGAAGGCATGACATCTTCAAAATGGAGAAAAACCTGTTGTTTTTGTTCAGTATAACCGAAAATTTTTCGTTAATTCTCTTAGAAAAAAAACTATATTTACGTTCATCTGAAGTCAATTGCCTCGAACAAGCTCTACTCATTTTTAAACCTATCATCGACACTAATCTGGTTTATTTGGTATACGTATTAATATACTTTACTGAGGATTGTTTGACAGACATATAAGTAACGTAGAAGACTCGTAATTATATATGAAGATAAGAATTAATGATCAAGATGTGGTACAGCTATTCTAGTACTAGAAAAAAAAAACTTTTCACTATGGAAAGACAAACTCTTTCTTTTTGATGTTTTATCAATATAACAATAAATAGAAATAAGAAAAAGATACTCATCTAGAAAAAAACTCATTAAACCATTCGGAAATGAATTCGCACGTCAAATTCATGTTAACATATTCTCATCTATAAATTGTATGCCTAGGCAATGCAACAACACTTCCGTTATATAAATACATACTTACGTTAATAATGGTTACTGAATTTGACTTATGAATATATTATGTCAGGCGTAGAATAAGAAACTTTTGATTTAATGAAAAATTAAAATATTACTTATACATTTTTATGAAAAATAGCTGATTTGCTGTTTAGATATTCTCATGATAGTCAAATATAATTAATAAAATCACTATAATTTTTCTTCTATTGTTTCTTAGGTGTCGTCATGATATAAATATCTGTTAATAAGCTTTGTTATTCTATGCTTCATACACTTATTATCCATGCTACTAAATAAACTCAGCTTATCTTTTCATATGAATAAACAAACATTTATTCGCCTCAAAGATTAACTTGTAATTTTTCTGAATTCATTAAATGTTTTGATTTGGTTTCCCTGCTTTTTTTGGTCATGCAACACATAAAATTCTACCATATATTTTCTTTTCAACCATGATATAATTCTCATCAGTAAAAATTATGAATATAAACGATGTGAATTTATAATTTATATGTTAGCTTTTTTTGTACCATACATAATGAGAAAGAAAAAAAACACTTGCTTTAACGCATAATTTAGAATAATATCAATATAGCGACAAAAACAATGTTGCTATTTGTGTACTACTGTAGAGAAATAAAAGTCAAATATATAATTTGGTTTCTTGTTGATTATACTCTGTTGACTCGATGATAGAGAGCTTAAATGACAAGATAGACAAAAACCTGTATTTCATCAACATATTATTTAATGCTGACATGTCATTGTATTTGTTTCATGGGGGGAAAAAAATGAAGACTTGTTATAATAAGTCGATAAACGTAATAGACGTATGTTTGAATAATGGCTTGTTAAATCCATTGTGAATTAAAGTTTTCCTTTTTCTTCAGAAAGAGTTACAGGTAACAATGTATTGACATGTGTTCAGCTACAACAAAGAAGAAACTGATGTGTTTTCTTTTTTCGCACATAGTCACCTCATTTATAGTGAAGTCTGTATGGACTTTTCAGTATCCGTATTCACATAATTGATTTTATATACTGACAATTAAAGAATTAATTTAAAAATAATAATATTGGTCATCATAATTTACTCATTTGCTCATCTTGATCATTATTCAATGAATATTTTTCGATTTATTAGAAAAGAACAAAGAAAAAAAAAAAAGAATAACGAAAAATATTGTTGATAAGCTCGACGGTTAACACATATTTATATCCATAATAAGCACTCAAGTAATATGTCGCCTCTCTATTATATTATAATATTTTCGTATTTTTTTCTTTATCTATCCATCATCCGTCTATAGAGGTTGAATAACAAATATTAATATGGCTTCAAATGACAAAAATATCATATATCGCAGCGTTCTGACAAACTACATGGGAGATGTCCTTTTTTTAATGCGCAAGTCTTTTATTTTATCGAGATCCTGAGTGACGCTACCATCCATGTAATCTTTAATTGATTGAGATCAAGTCAACTGAAACTAATCTTCAGACATACCACTAATGAATTAAAATGTGATAGTCTTCCTAGACCTCGATGAAAATCTAGGCAAATATTCAACGATATGCACTGGTATTTATTCATTTATTTAGAGGATCAATTATGTACATACTTTAAAATATATCCATATTTATCCAGTAATCTGTATCTATATCGGATGCGACATAAAGAATGATATCGTTAGTATTTTGGTATTATTTCGGTCAGATTTCATCACAGAGACTTGAGCTTAGTTTCAAAAGATTTCTCGTTCAATATTTCATAAAAACCATATGAATACAGTATGCGTAGCTTTTAACGGTGAAATCGTAGACGATCAGTACTAGATGGCAGCTCAAGGCATTACTTTCGTATGCATGATTTGAGAAGATTAATTATCTCTCTGCTTCTGCAAAATAACACCCGAAGCGTTTGCAATTTGATTTTTTCTATGTTTTCCGATGTGCTTTTTCTCACACAACGCAAAGCAATTCATTAAGATTAGATACTCAGATTCTAGATATATATTTCTTTCAGAATCAAGTGTGAACTATGCACCATTTTCTTTTGCTACAGCGGGTGCTAAAAAAGGGCGATCAGTACGGTGTTTGGGTAGAATAAGAATGATTGAGAAAACATTTCTTTACTTTGGCAGAAAATTACAACAAAATGTCATATTTTAATATATTTTTACAATAGATCTTATTAGCAAATCATAGGAAATTGGACATAAGAGAAAAGCGAAAAGGTTCTAATATTGAATGCTTGCTATGAAAAGCGTTTCAACTTTTTCTTATCTGATACAGTATCGTCAATGCTACAGAATGGAGTGTTTGGATATCCTCTATTCAACTGAATAATGTCGAAAAAAATAGAAACTGGAAAAAAATATCTGATGAAAAGTGATGTCTTTTTAAGCATAGTAGGAC